CACACACACACACACACATATATATATATATATATATATATTTAAGACACATGCTTTGATGGTCTGATATATTGAATATATTTAAAAGTAGACAACAATCCAATTTACCTTCCATACTTTTTATTATGGTCCTATAAAAAGTAAAAAAAAAACGTAAAAATAATTAAAATGTCATCATAAATATCAATGTAATATTGTATCTAATTATATATTTTTTTTTATCACTTTTTGAATAAAGCCTCACATGCATTTAGCATCACCCCATTAAACACTTCAAAATGATGATTTAAATCTTTTTGGCAATGAATTTTATACTTGGTTCCCAAGGCACCATCTGCAGAGGGCACTCCATAAAACACTCTGTTGATTCTTGAGTGGACCAAAGCCATTGCACACATCACACACGGCTCCCGAGTGACGTAAAGGTCATATCCGGTGCAGATATAAGGCTGTCCGGTTTCTTTGGCATAGCAGGCATTCCTAAAGGACTCAGAGCTGCTAAACCGACAGGCTGGATATTTCTTGTAATTGTAGGCACCTCCTCCTTGCCCACAGGCCACAAGATCAATACAGACCATGACAGCATGATGGAGCGGATGAAAGCCACGCTTACAGTCATGACCCACTGCAACAATCTGCTCAGATTCTGGGTCCACAATCACTGCGCCCACTGCATCCATTCCCATCTCCCCACCTGATTTTGCAGCCTCTACAGCTGCTGTCATGTACTCTTGCATTTTAGCTTTCTGATCGGCAGTGAATAACTGGCCCCTCAGAGCAGACGTCACTTGTTTGTCCTCGTGAAATGATGTAGGCCAGTGTTTCCTAGCTTTTTCAAACTGTGGTCTAGTTAGTGGAGGATTAGCGGGTATTTTGACAAGGAAAGGTTCTCCCAAACCACTGGAGTCAAAAGACTGTGAGCGGAGCAGATCAGCAAGCATAACTCCTTTGCAGTCTATCACCTGCACATCTCTGGCCAAGCACACAATGACCTCTAAAGGGTGAGGAGTGCTTTTGTCTTTGCAAGCCCTCACTCTTTTTATGTGCTGCAGACCGGGTAAAGGGTAGATCAGGGAAAGCTCTTTGACCAGGCGAGAAGTTTGTCTTTTCTCGATGATGGGTGCTGCGTAGGCCAAAAACAATTCAGTGTCCCGGGACTGTTCATCAGAGAGAACTGGAAGAACATCCCAAGTGTCATATTTGTCCATTTCTTTCCTTCGTTTGGCTTGTGGCTCCATCTTGTTCTATTCATTTAATATTTTTTTCCTGATGTCATCTGAAGAAGCAGAATTTGACATTAAAAGTTACAGACTCAAAATGCCCTCATCATGAACCTGGTTTATTACAGTTAACTAAAACCATAATAAAATGTTCATAACTTGAAATAAAATAAACTTGAACTGAAGTAAAATATAAATAAAAAACAAACTTTTTTAATTTAGTTATTTAGCTTAACTTAATGTACTAAAACAACTAGCCTAAACTAAAACTAAAATAAAAACTATATAGACATAAAAAAAATAATGAAACTGACAAAATACACACAAAATTAATAAAACTTTAACTAAAAAAAAAAGAAAAGAAAAAAAAAACAGAAAATAGCCCATGAAAATACAGCCTAATTCTAAATATAAAAACTATAATAATATGATACTAAAATAACACTGCCATGAACTTTGTAATACAGAAAAGTATGTAAATAGATCATGTAGACAGAAAACAATTGTAATATATTGACACTCTTTTCAAAAATAATTGTCATGAACTTGCATATTACAAAAAAATTTAACTTTTAAATATTCCATAAAAAACACATACATTTTAATGTAAATATTAATTAATTTAAATGGATTA